GCTCACCTGTCTAATAAAACACTTCGGCTTGGTTTCACAGACAGAGTTTAGATTAAGGCAGGATTTGGCTTTAGTTCAATTAGGGCATTTAAGTAGCTTTTATAAACTTGTCGATGAAAATAAAACATTGCAGGTGTGTATCTTGAGAAACAATGACACTGACATTTTTCATGATGTTAAAATCAGTAAAATTAAGTTTAAAACCGCTCAAACATGCTGGAATTTTAGTCTGGGACTTAAACCTTGTTTGTGCAATTGGGGGTTATATATTAAAGTGTCTTGGATTTTTCCATGGTTTCTACATAAGTATAACCTTAAAGGATACTCCACTTTTTTGGAAATAAGCTCATTTACCTCTCCCCCAGAGTTAAACAGTTGGGTTTTACCATTTTTGAATGTATTCAGCCGATTTTTTTGATATTTAGAGGAATATCAGTAACCAGACAGTTTCTGGTCTCATTATTGACTTCCATAGTATATTCTTTCCTACTATGGAAGTCAATGAGAAACTGTCTGTTTACTGATATTCTTCTAAATTTCAGAAAATCGGCTGAATGGATTTGAAAAAGGTAAAACTAAACAGTTTAACTCTGGGGGAGTGGTAAAATGAGCCTATTTCCAAAAAAAGTGGAGTATCCCTTTAAGTCGAGGGTAACACGGATATGATGCAATTGAGAAGCTACGCAATGACATGGGACGTTACACTGGTCAAAATAGCTAATTTCTCTGAATGTAAATATTGTTGGAGACATTTGGGATAGTGCAAGTACACAAGTCTACACAATATAACACTTTTCGAGTGGTGATAATCCAATTTAATGAAAAAATCTTACATATTGTGCCTTTAAGTAATAAACATATTACACACAGATAATTCAATTTAATTAATAATCATATCTATGCTAGCAAAAAAAAAAATGTCTAAGTAAATACACAGCAGTGAATTTTTTATTTTTTATTAGACTCATTCTCATATGATAACACATTTCTCTGCCAACTGGACCCACTCTTAATTTTTTCCCAAACATATGAGTTTGTCTTGACCCATTCACTGGAAATCAGGTGGAATTAAAGCTATCTGAATAGTGTAATTGTATCTATTTTCTCCATGAAGTAGTGCAACTCGTCCTCGACGACTCCAGCAGTGCAATGTGAACACAGTCTGTGTTCTCCAGGTCTCCAGCACTGCTTGTGTCGGCCCATCTCTACAGACATTAGATTGTTAGACCCCAATTTGGAATTATTATAAAGAACTGTTCCATGAGTGTAAAAACAA